GAAGGCAGTGAACACTGGCTGCTGTCATCTCATCTCAGGCATGAGGTATGAATTTATCTAAATAGGGTATTACGTTTTTCAAGGAGAGTTTCTAATTGTATGACAGTGGACTTTAATTATTAAAGAAAATTTAAACAAAAATCAAGACTTTTTTTTGGAATGGGGATGACATGGAGGTGCTTCCCAGGACTCCCATACTATTCTCTTCTCATGGGTAAAGCCCATTGGTCCTGCAGCCTTACTCTGTTTTCTCAAGGACTTGTTGGTGGCAGAAATGAGTCTGGGTGACATGTGGAAATGGTAAATGGCCCTTTAGCTTTGGTGCTCTTCTCTCTCAGCATTATCATATAGTTTACATCTTCCTCATCTCATTTATCCATTCCCCATCCCCCATCCTTCTATCCATCCCCTACTAGGTGGTAGGCGTTGGAGGTAAGACATGAATTAGATGCAGTCCTGTTCACAAGGAGGTAACAGGAGGGGCTGGGCAGGGGTGCAGGGAAGGTGGTGATGGTGATAGTGGGATTTTGGTCACTTGAAGAGATAATCATTCTATATGGATTTAGGGTAATGATTGCAATATGCTTAGGATTTTGTGGAAACAGAGGCACCAAGGACTTCCCTAAAAAGTTTCTTTACACTGGATTTTAACATTTGCCACCTCAGAATGAAAGGCTCTCTCTTTGACAATTTGTTTACAGCAACATGAAACAAATTAAAATGTTTTACAAATCAGATTAGGTCCTTTAGTTGCCCACAGAATACATGGCAATTTAGCTTTCCCTGTAAATCTGACCTCCTCAGTCTTCTTTAAAACATAACGTGTATATATATCACTGCTAATATTCAGCAGTGGACTAATGTCTAACAGGGTTTGAGGTGTGCAGCATGTTTAATGTGAACCAGACTCTGAGAAGACCCAGTTGAGGTGTGATTAACTTGGTGAATTAAACCTTTGGAGTCTGTGTGTGTGGGTGTGGGTGTTTTATCTGTGTGTATCCAAAGTGGAGAAAAGGGGGACACTTGTATTTATCTGGACTTAACTAATTAGTCTCCAATTTTTCCATCCCCTCTAATGAAAAGACTTAGAGTCATGTTCTCATGCTCCTTTTAACGCTGCTTCTTTGGAAGTTATTTGTGTCATAAATTATCTCAAGTAAATTGCTTTTGTTAGATGCTAAGTGACTTTTTAAATAAGGACCATTATTATCATTGTTATTATTATTATTATCAAGAATATGTCAAAAAAGAAAATCCTGTGATCTTAACAAGATCCTGCCCCGTTGTATCAAGAAATCCTTAAATTCACACTGATTTGGGCACATTTATTAAAAGAATGGTTTTACACAAATCCCACCTACTCCCATGTTATCTTTGCAGTGGTTTGCCTGTATTTTTAAAACAGTATCAAGTTACTAGAAACTTAAAGTCTGCATCCCTAATGTTTATGTGAAACCAAACTACATTTGATGATAGTTGAAGAAAATTAACCTAACACAGAGAGAGCCTGGATTTCAGTTTATGGTCTACAATATTTGTTTAAGCATTTTTTAAATTTTCATAAATGGAATTAGCTTTGATATGTTCTTACTATTAATGATTTACTTTTGTGACTTAAAATAAGATAAAAGTAAAATAAGCCATTCTGCCAGAATTTCTTGCTGGCGGAAATTTCTTGCTGGCAGAAAGATCTTGGTGCCTTTGTAAACCTGAGTTGAAAGATTACTAAGAAAAAATTGGTTAGGGTTGAATGGTAACACAGCTAGCACACAATGAACTTATGCGGTCCCACCTCTTTTCCTTCATGGTCTTTTGGTGGTCCCACCTTTTTTCCTTCATGGTCTTTTGGTGAGTTAGGACTGATGCATAGCCTAGTGAATTCTCTAATTCTCTCATTTGCTGATTACAGCATTATTTTGAACATGGAAGGAGACCTGGTGTTTGATATCCATCTATTGTCTTTCCTGAAGCTCAGGATAGCACCCATCTCATTTCCCATTTTTATACCGTGTAGGGTTAGGGCAAAGATTCAAATTGTAGAACTATGCAAGAGAGAAGCAGAGGATGCCTGCCATGCTGGAGACACTCAGGAAGGAGTAGACCTTCCCTTCCTGTAGCCCTGGTACCTGATACAAGTATACTGGTGAATGTTTCCTGATCTTTTCACCACCAGGAAGAGAGCAGAGGGAGTAAGGGGCAACATTGCTATTGGTTCATTCCTTCACTCATTTCCTCAATTATTATTTATTGAGTGCTTATGATGCACCAAGGTTGGTTCTGTGAATTTGAAGATGAGTGAGTTACCACACTTGTCTTCAAGGTGTTTAAAGTCTATGAGAGGAGAAAGACACTTAAACAGGTAATTAAATGTGCTAAGGGAATTGTTATAATGAGGAGCAGCTTTGAGCAGAAACAGCACAGATGTGGAAGCCAATCAAATTCACCTTCATTTAGAGCTTGGCAAACTGGTGCTAGATGCTTAATACTTTTGAATTTATTTCTTCATCTATGGTGAGAGGTTAACATTCCCTAACTTGCAGATAGAGAGCTTGGCATTTCAGTAAGTGGTAGGGTGTGGATGTGCTTCAGGTGCTAATGTCTTCAGGGCAGTGGGATCACCAAGTCCTGAGTTCCAGGTCATTTGTGTAAGAATGGCCTTCACTGGGATACTGGGTCCCAGGACTACAAAGGAGTTGCCACTGACAGAAGGCCTTATCTCCCAACTTGTCATTGTCACTAGACAGTAAGACTTTAAAGGATAAGGACTGTTGCTGACAGTTCAAAAACGCCCATTGCCATTTTTGTTGTCCCAGTTTCTGACACTTTACTGTGTTCCACACAACCTACCTTTTGCCACTTAGCTCCTTGTTTACTTGAAGAACCCTGCCCTCCCACTAGCCTTCTCTTCCAGGCCTTCCATATATTGTCCTCTTGCTTTTCTCTCCACTCTCTGAGTTACTGTATTTGAGAGGTATTATGTTTTGAAGTCATATTATATATAATATATACTATGGATTGTAAAAATTATGTAGAATTTATTTGGTCATTGCTGCCTTTTTTTCTGAGCTAAAAGCTATTGGTTAATGCTTAGTGAGCTCTTACTATGTGGGTTCTGATTCACTTGGTCTGGGATAGGGCTCACGTGACTACATTTCTAACAAGGTCCTGGGTGATGTTGCTGGTCTATACACGGCACTTTGAATAGCAAGGCATTGTATCATTTGATCCTGACAACATTATGAGGTAAACATTATTTTTCCCATTTTATATATGTGGAAATTGAGCGATAGAGGAATGAGATAATTTCCCAGAGGTCACATTGCTAGAAACTAGCAAAGCTTGGACTCTAAACCCAGGCCTGGCTGCTGGCATATTGTATATTATTTGGCTTTTGAAAATATCCTACAACACCCAAGGGTGGTCTGATGTGACCTGAACAGAATTTATACTTTCAACCATTCCTTTTTTAGGTAACTTTTTTTCCAAATTTAATTTCCATTTATGCAGGACCTTGTATTCAGATGTGTTGGATTTTATTTCTAAAGTGATATGTAAAGTTTAGTATGATTTATTTGCCAATATTATAGTTTAGGAAACATGCCATTGATGCAATCTGGATTAGCACAAGAGGAAGCTGCTGGGGAAGGATGCCTGTGAGGAAAGGAAATCCAGTCTGATTTATTGTTTGACGCACAGTGTGCTACCCTTGTCAGAGGCTAGTGGAAAGGACATACATAGTCCCTGTACTTCACAGATTAGATATACTTTTAACAATAACTTTTTGACCTGCTCGTAAAATTAATATGGTTCATAATAGAGCATTTGAGCTTCATTAATGTAATAATAAAAAATTAAAATCACTCCGACTGAATTTCTTTTTTTCAAATTTTAAAAGACTACATCCAGGACATTAACACAGAACAGCAAGAGTTCAATGCAATATCTTGCCATAAGTAATTTAAACATCGTTTTTGGTTTTGAGGGCCAGTGGGAGTAAAAGAGGCAGCTTTAGGAGTCCCCAAAATATTTAAGAAATTCGAAGGCGCCTTCTCAGCAGTGCAAGAATTCTGGGGACATATTCTAACTTTCACAAAGGGCCTCAAATCTTAGTCCGATCCACGCTGCAGAGGGCTGATGTTAATTGTTCTCAAACCCCGGCCCGGATCACCGACGCATGCGCAGTCTGGCCCCGGGGCTCAGTGGGCGTTTCGCAGGCCTATTTCTCTCCCGCAGGATTTTGTGCGGTCAGCAAAAGGACTAGGACTGAGACGACGAGCGGTCGGGAGCCGGAGAGGGCAGAGAGACAACGGTCTCTAAATGAAAAACACCTCGCGGCGAAACAAACTCAGGGATTGGGGCGCGATTTTGCAGGCGTCTCAACATACACACTTGTAAGGTGCCAAACATCCGTAGGAGAGACTATCCTGGAAAAAGGGGAATTGTCTGTAGGAAGGGAATTTAGGGGCTAGAACGGGGAAGGGTGAGGGGGACACTCTCTAAAACTTTCAGTGTTGCGTTTTCAAGATGTTCTGTGCCCTTTTTTCATTCCTCTGGGAAGTCCGGGTGCCCCCATGAACACCTCGCTCCTCCCATACTCTTTGGAAAATCGCACTAGGCGTTTAGGGAGGGGGTCCCCTAGGATCTCACTGAAACAGTGCTCAGCCACACTTCCTCCAAACCGGAAAGCCGTCCCGGGAGCAATCCCGGACACCTGGGGGTGTGTAGGCTCCGCAGACCTGAGGCTCGCGGTGGGCGGGGGCGCCGGGATCTCCTGCCCAACCCACTCCCCCGCTCGGGCCGCCGACCCGGCCTGGGCGGCGCGCTCCCACCCGCGCCTCTGGGGACTCGCAGACGGCAGCGAGCCGGCCGGCGCGCTGGGCATGCTCAGTCGCCGGGCGCCGGCCTCGCCAGTCGGAAGCGTGTGAGCGGCCGCCGCCGCCGCCGCGGAGCCGGCCGGGCGCACGGAGAGCGCGCGGACTCGCTGCAGCTGCGGCCGGGCGGCGGAGGACCCGGGCGAGACCGCAGCCTAGCCTCGCGCGGGGCCCGCGATCCGCCGCCGCGGCGCCTGCTCCCTTCGCACCCTCGCAGGGAAGGGGTCGGCCGCGGCTGGCGTCGGCGGGGCGCGGAGGAACCGCGGCGGCGGCTGCATACCCAGCGGGCCGCGTCCCGGAGTCGTCGGGCATGGAGCCGTGGAAACAGTGCGCGCAGTGGCTCATTCACTGCAAGGTGCTGCCCGCCAACCACCGGGTGACCTGGGACTCGGCGCAGGTGTTCGACTTGGCGCAGACCCTCCGCGATGGAGTCCTGCTCTGTCAGTTGCTCAACAACCTCCGGGCGCACTCCATCAACCTGAAGGAGATCAACCTGAGGCCGCAGATGTCCCAGGTAAGCAGGCCGGCGCGGGCGCCTCCGCCTCCGCCTCCAGCCGGCGTCTCCCATTAATCATTCGGCTAATTTCTTTGTGTAAATGCAAACATCTAGGTGGGCTCGGCTTGCCCTGCCTCCCAGCCTTCTGCCTTGGGGACCATTTGGCCCTTCGTACCTGGGCAGGAAATGGTTTAGGTCTGTAGCTTGATAGTAAAGCCCTGCGTCCGGAGATGGTATGAGGATTTCGTAAAGGCTTTCTGTGAGGCGGGAAAAAATAAAGCTGTCTTAGGGTGCCCTTCACCTACTTTTTGTGAGTGTGTATGTAGAGCAACAAAAGGAATTTGACCCAGTTTTTTTATTGTAATAATGGAGAGGGATGAAACGATACAATGGGGGTAATTTTGCCTGTATTCTGTTCTTTTGCTTTGCGTTTCGTCCCCGGGTTTTCTTGAAAGAGGAACCATGACATAAATGAAGACTCTAGGAAGTGGAGGGCGTTCTGGTTCCGTTATCTGTGCAGGAATGACATTGGTAGAGGAAAAGGGAGCACAACACAGCGCTTTCCCCCGAAAGCCCTGTAAGCTCGTGGCCAGCTGGCAAGCTGGAGGGTTGTGTTTACAGCTCTGCTTAAGCCATGTGAGAAGGAGCGAGTCCAGCCTTTCTCAGCAGCCACAGGAAACGAGAAGTTTTGCTCCGATTCCGCTTTGCTTCATTCAGCGCTTGCTCAGGTGGTGTGGTGCTCGCTGGCTCCTGTGGCTGGAGGTGCCTCTGAGGGGTCTAAAAACAAATAAAAAAAGCAACTCTGGAAGGCTGTGTGCACCCTAGAGTCAATTCTAAAGTCATAACTCAGTAGAACATTAGTTTCTTGGTCCTGTCAGAAAGTTTTGGTGCAGAAAGATGTTAAACATGATTCACACATCTATTTTCTTTCACAATGTAAAAAACTGCTTTCAACTTAGAGTCCCCCCATGACATATGTTAGCAGGAATCCTGAATAATACAGAGCCCCAGCCACTTAGCAACCTGAGTAGCTCTTCTTACAAGGGAACTGAATTTATATAATTTAATAGTTACATATTTAAATTTAGAGTACACGCACTCATCTCTTCTTGATGTCAGTATTTTATCAGGGTCCCTCTGCACCTCAAATTCTGCATCCGTTTCCTGTCTGCCTTTAGCCTGGTGGTTAGCAGTCCCCAAGAAAGAACAGACTTGTAAGTGGTGAGAGCCATCCATTTTTTGAAGTGAGATAAATTATTTCGTACACTCCCATAATCCTGGGTGGTGACTGCTAACTTCGTGGACCCATGCAAAGTTGTCCCAATTCTAGATATCCTGTAGAAGGGTTTAACAGACGTTTTCATTAATTTGGGAGCTGCTGTTCTGAACAAGATCTATAGGAAGCTGCAGTTGGTTATGCAGCCCACAGATCCCCATTTTCCACCTGGCTTGTGGCCTCAGGAGGCAGTATGGTTCAGGAAGCCTTGGCCCACTAGCAGGGAGTACAGGACTGTGCATATTTCCTCAAACTTCAGTTTCCTGGAGCCCCCAGGGGCTGTTCAATAAATTGCTCTCAATAATCAAGTTTTCTGGACAACTGAGGATCTCCCTCTTTTTATCTTCTAACCTTTATTTGAATATGAACAATAGATGAAAATCATTTCCAATATTTCTTGCTCTTCCCTTTGTAGAATATATTAGATGTAATTTAGTGTTTTTGATGACTAAGGGTCATCAGTATAAGCATCATTAATGAAAATTGAGCACTCATGACCCTCTTATAACTCTGTTCCTTACTGGGGGTACACAATGAACACATCAGAATCCTTCCCTAAAGGAATTGTTACACTGTGTTGTCAGATAAGCCACCAGGTTATAATGAAGTAAACAGCTGAATAATCTTCCTTAGGTGGTTGTGCTTTTAGGTTCTTAAGCCTACCCAACCCAGAGCTTTCTGGTTCCAAATTCATTGCAGTTTACTGTAATATCGTATGAGCTTCTTCCAAAAGCGAACACTGGAAGCCTAGTACCTGAATATGGTGGCGTCTGTTTTTGCTTCCTTTTTGGTTCTTGGCTATATTGCAAAGAAAGGTTGCTGAACAGCTGAGTGCTGGAGAGGCAAGTTTGTATTATACAGGTTGTCATTCAGTCCTTATATGAGACTTATTAAATCATTTCATTGTACAATTTGACACATTTAACATGCCTACAGTGCCCAGCACATACTATGTACTTAATAGATGTTCATTATTCATAAAATTAAAAGATTTTTCTGCTGTTGTCATATCAAGAGTGATATGTTGCATTTGTTTTACAATTTTGATTGTAAGGCCTACAAATTTCTTTAGGCTGATATAGCTGTTTCTTCCTTGAACCACTCATATGTCTTTCTTGGCCAAGGTTCTAGCTGCCTCTGGCTATGAGGTTCCTATTGCCAACAGCTCTCTTCATAACGTACAGTGAATAATCTAGTAACCTCGTGAAACCCCGACATTCATCCTAGTGGACTTTACTCTTCTGAATTAAGAGATGACTTACTAGTTCTTTTGGCTTTTGCTGTGTCTAAGTCTTTCTGTTCACTTGATTTAGATTGTATTGAAGATACTAATTTTCAATAGACTATGTCCTTATAGCACATGATCTTGTAAGGCAGGAAATAACTCAAGGCTCTCACTTCATAGTTTTGTGGTATTTAAAACTGTTATGAACAGATATTGACAAAAATTTTAGTTTATTGATGTTTTGCTTATTGCCTGTTTTTAATTCTCCTGAAAGAGGCTCTGTGTAGCCTCTTTTAATAAGAGTATTTTTCTCCAGTGAGTGGGATTTCTTTCATTCTCTTTCTGTTAGTCTTCTGCCTTGTTTGCTGTCTATCTTATACACTAAATTATAGGCTTGAATTTTGAATTAATAAGTTAATTATCCTTCAAAATAGAATTATAAATGAGACCCCAATCTCTTATTGTTCTTCCTGGCCGTGGACATTAGCCTTTTTTTTTAAGTCTTGCTATGTTCCTATGAGGAGGATCTTTAGTTCAAAGATAACTACTTTTTTAAGTATCCTAATTTTGTTGCTAATGAATTAAAGAGGTAAACATTAATTAATACTTAGTTACAAATTTAGCACATTCCTTTTATTATAAAGGATAAAGTAAAAATCCAGATGATCAGGGAAAATCTAAAAAATTTGGCTCTCTGTCTATATGACAAATTTGTTTTTCATCTAAAACAGTGTCCTGGCTGGGATAGAAAGCATATAGATGATTCTGGAGTGAAGAGCCAACCTGTGGCGGTTGTACGGGGTGGGGTGTGCACTGTGGAGGGACATGGGTTGTGGGCTTGATGTCATTTTTGTTGGTTAAGACTATAACCAACCATAGATCTATCACCAAGGAAATTTCTTAATTTTACTATTTTATAATTAAATTTTTGCTTTCTTCTATGTCTTAGGGTGGGATTAATACATTTGATGAATTTACTGACCACTATCTGTGGTATAGATAAACTTTGAATTGTCTTAAAATGAATTATTCAGGCTTTAAGAGTTCCTTCAATTTGTTCTTACCATGTGCCAGACACTGTTTCAGACACTGGCTTGGAGAAGTAAATAAACTCAATGGAGTCTCTGCCCTATTTTAGTGGTGGAGATGGACAGTAAATAAATAAGCGGCTATGTAATATGCTGTGCCATGAAGAGATCTGAACCTGGGGAGGGAACCATAGTGAAATGTGATTCGACTTTATGGACCATGATCATAAAAGGCTTCCTTTAGGAGGTGGCAATTGAACAGGGACCTGAAGAGAGTGAGGGAATGAAGGAAGGTCGATGTTTGAAAGAAGAATATTCCTGGCAGAGGGAATATGGAGTGCCAAGTTCCTGAGGTAATTAAATGGTGGGGGACACAAGGAACAGCAAAAAGGCCAGTGTGGCTGGAGGAGGGTGAGTGTGGGGAAGGAGTGGTAGCGATGAATTCAAAGAGCAAATGGGAGCCAGACTTTTAGCACTTGTGGGTCATAGTAAGGACTGACTTTAACTCAGTGAAACGGGAAGCCATGTGACCTGGCGTGTCTTTTTAGCAGGGGCCCTCTGGCTGCTGTGCTGAGAATGGATGAAAGCATCAAAAACATCAAGGGCGGGAGCCGTCACGACGGTGCGCTCGTTTGGTCGAGGGATGATGGCGGCTCCCTCCAGAGCGATAGCAGGGCAGGTGGTGAGAAACAGCCCAGCTCTGGGTACGTTTTGAAGGAAGAGCCTGTAGGGGAAGGAGTTTATTGATGGAATCAGATTAGGGGTATGAGAAGAAGAGAGAAGCCAGAAATGACTCCAGAAGTTTTGTCCTGACAAACTGGAATAATGGAGGTGCGGTTGACAGAGAGGAAGAAGGCCGGAGGAAGTAGCCTGGCGTGTGTGTGGGAGAAGGGGAGGACGCTCCCGAGCTGGTCGTCTGTGAAGTGCCCGAAGACATCTAGGTGGGGATGCTGAGCATGCAGCTGGAGGAGTTGGAGATGGAGAGGTGAAGTTTGGAGTCATCAGAGTGTAAGTGGTATTTACAATCATGAGACTGGACATCATCACCTAGGAAGTAGGGCAGAAGAGAAACCGGCAGTGTGGTTCCGGGAAACCAAGTGAATACAGTGTTTCTGGAAGAAGGAGTGGTCAGGTGCTGATAGATCAAGTAAAACAAGGATGGAGGATAGAGTCTTAGGAGAATAAAGTTCTTTGGTGACCTTGATAGAAACAGATTTGGTGTGTGACTGGCAAACACCTGATTGGAGAAGAAAGGATGGGAGGAGATCAAGCAAGTATAGACATCTCTTTGGGAGTAATTTTGCTATGAATAGAGCAGAGAAATGGGGTAGTGGCTAGTAAGGGGAAAGAGATCAAGAGGCAGTTATTCTTTCATCACATAGAATTTTAATGTGTTCCTGGAACTACTTTTCACTCAGACTGCTAGTCTTCTGAATACCATTTCCTCGCCATCATTGATTTCCATGTTTTTTTCCACAGAATGTTTTTC